TCTCTCATTTTATCCTTAGTAGGAGCAGCCTCTAATTTACTATAAATGCACTCATTTCTTAACCTATCTTTTCATGTACACTCACAAGATCATCGTAACATCCTCATTTTTTGTACACATTTTTTACACATGTTTTTTAATTGCCTAACATTTTGATCCACAAAGCAAGTGATTGTGGTGGAATACATGAATTTCCATTCCCCTTTATTTCGGGCCATCTACTTCCCTAAGTTAATCACTATCATATCCTTAATTGCTTCTAACCAAGTTCTCTTAAGTCTACTTCTAGATCTTTTTACCTCATTAATTATAATATTATCACTTTTCCTAACCGGTGCACTAATACTAATGGGTCTCCATGTACCAAGATTAAACAACCTTAGTCTATTCTCTCTCATTTTATCCTCAATAGGATCCTCAATAGGAGCAGCCTGTAATTTACTATGGATTTACTCATTTTTTGTCATGTCTTTTAGTCATAACATCCATATTTTTGCTACACTCATTTTTTTGTACATGTTATTTTTCAATTGGCTAAAATTCTGATCCATAAAGCATAGTTGGTCTTATAACCGTCCTATAGAATTTTCCTTGAGTCTCATAGGTATTCTACAATCATATAAGACTCCCGAAGCACTCCTCCATTTTCCATCCCGATTTGATTTCGACAGACACCATCATCCTCCATCATGACGAATAATTGATCCTTAATAACTACAGACTACAGTGATTACTTTTAGGTAAATCTTGGCCATCAATATATACTATAGGCTCTTTTTAGTTATATAAAAATGTATTCCATATATTCTGTTTTTATCTTGCTAATTCTAAAGCATTTAGCTTTAAGAATTTTGTCTCTGCCTTTCTACTTTAGATATTATACCCTTTCTAGTCTTGTCAACTAATATTATATCATCAATAAATAATATACAATATCGTGCTTCATCCTGAATATGTCTAATAAGTTGGCCTATAACTAATGCAAACAAGATAAGGGCTTAAGACTACCCTTGATGTAAACCTATGGTAATAGGAAATTTTTTGCTCTCCTTCTTTGTTCTTACTGTAGTTGTTATATCTTTAGTCGTATGAATATATATACCACATATGTGTTTCTCTTCTAAAATACACCATATTATTTCTCTAGACACTCTATTATAGGCTTTTTCTATATCAATAAGAATTATATGTAGACCCTTTCTCTTTTTTTTATATCACTCCATCAACCGTCTCAATATTTGAGGAAACAAAATTAGAGGTCTTCAATATTGCAAAATAATTTTCACAAAGCAACAAACACTCAGTGTCTGAAAAGTTGATTGTATTCCATATGATATCAATGCTTTGTTGTTAGTGTTTGGTCAGTCATATAGAAAATAGGGAACAATGGGAAACAGAGAAGAAAAGACAACAACTCAAAGGCCTTCTTGTTTACACCATATTTACAGGAAACAAGTTAGAGATATGAAGAGAAAGTGATGGCTTGCCTCTCTCAATGTCCCATGTTTCAGTTTTCTAACTAAATGTACTTGTTTTCTGCGAGAAAAGTTGGGCCTTACCTGAGATTCTCTTAAAGTAATTTATCCATAGTTACTGAAAACTGACTGCGTCCTCAGTGACTTCCAGTTCCAGGTGATGGATCTGCTCAATTTTCTAAATGATGTTTCTACTATTTACCAAAAATATCTTTATGGATGCATGCATAGATTTGGCTCCTTGCTCATGTCTTCTCTTGTTCTTTTAAATAACGTACCAAATGAGGTATCTGCACTTCTATTCTGTGATCAGTGGCTAGTCATATTATGGCACAAAAGTTTTTCTATTTTGTGAAACAGCAGGTGCCAGAAGCTGATAAAGGATTTTGTTACGCGGGGTTACAGGAAGAGTATTCTACCACTGTCAGTAGGTTCATCCATACTTGTTGTACTATCTTGTAGAATCTTCGAACTTGCTTTAGCTTTTAGATAATTTCATTTCCTTCTCTTAGGGTTCAGTAGATATAATCTGTGGAGGACCTCCATGTCAGTGAATCAGTGGATTTAATCGGTTCAGGGAGAAAGAAGAGCCTTCTAAGGACACAAAAAACGCGCATATGGCTGTGTTTATGCAGATTGTCAAGTTTTTGAGACCAAAGTTTGTCTCAATGGAAAACATAGTGGACATATTAAAGTTTTCTAAAGGGTACCTTGGACGGTATGCCCTAAGCTAGCTTGTAGCTATGAAATACCTGTTGAGAGAGTGGATAGCCTTCTCATCAAAGAGTCAGCAGTGTTCACATACCCCGTGCTACATTGTTCACATACCCCGTGCTACAGCGTTCACCTTCCCCAATGCTACAGCGTTCACCTTCCCTAATGCTACAGTGTTCACCTACTCCAAATAGTGTTCACCTACCTCCATGAGAAAATTTATAAATACCTTCCTAAGTTTGATTTGTAAGGTATCTCAGTAGTAGAGAGAGAAAGAGAAAGATATAAATATAAGTAATATCATTGAGAGATCTTGAGAGAGAGTTTGTGAGAATTCTTGGAGAGTATCGTGATCAAGAGAGGGTGTTCTCTTTTATCTTTTTCCTTTGTAACCTCGAAAGGAATATAAAGGAATTGGGCGTCATTGTTGGACCGTGGAGTAGCTCCGTAAGAGTGAACCACGTTATATCTGTGAGTATTGTGATTGAATTCGTGTTTGCTGGTTTTATTTTGTGATTCCAAGATCATTTGGGTGTGTTTTGCGTCTCTGTTTGAGGCGTTCTTGTTGGCGTGTATCCTAACAATACCAAGCAAGATTGGGGATCGTTGCTGCAGGAAACTATGATCTTCCTCAGTACATGATGAGGGTATTTCCCTGGAGTGCACATCCAGCTCAGGTTCGCCTCTTTCTATTTACTTATTTTGGATTATCCTATTTCTGTAATTTAATATAAATCTGGTGTTGTTGAAATTGCCTCCATTTCCATTACCTACTCATGGTGTTGTCACTCGTGGTGCACCTCCAGTTAAGTTTGAGGTATGCATTTGTTACTATTTGTTTTTGCATGACTAGTTTTGATATGATTTTTGCTACAATGTTCCAAATATTCATGATAATAATGAATGACAATTTGATGCTCCTCACCACGCACATGTTGTTGCACATGATGGGACCCAACAAAGACAATTGGAGAAAGCATTACGATTATCTGATGCCTTGCAGATCTCCCTCCTAAAATTACATTTTGTTCCTTTCGGATGTTCTGCAATATTCCTTACCTTTGCCTAAACGGTTAATTTGTTTGGTTAGGTTGAAAATGATGAAGGCAGAGATGAAATAAGCTATGGGGCATCTCCACAAACTGATCTTCAGTGTTATATTCGGCTTAGTCATGAAGGCAAGTTCATGTCATTCATTATCATTTCCTTTGTGAGTTGTATTTCTTGCCTTACTCCTCTCTTCACGCATACCAGGTACTTCCATGGCCTACCTTGACATTTTTTTCAGAAGAGGATTATCATCGTTGTTTTTTGTTATATAATTTTAATTCTATCATTCTTGCAAGGTTTCAAATATCAAATATCGGACGTCTGTAATTCATATCGAATGCAGATATCAGGGAAATATTGGGGAAATATCGGGGATATGTATTAAATATCGGAGTGCTATATAGGATAATGTGCATGTATAATATAATGTTCTAAAATGCAAGCTAAATATACTTAATAAAATCTAGGCATACACAAATGTAAATAATATATGTTTAGACCATTAATCAACCTTTTAAAACAAATAAAAAGTCAAAATCAACATTGCAACATTTCAGCTAATTTTTTTAGGCTGAAATGTCATTTGATATATTGGGAAAATCATGAAATGTTGCCTAAAAATTGCTAAAAGCAGAATATGGTTTTTCGACAAAGCCATATAAAAGAACATATCCGCCAACATATCGGTTGATATATTGGCCATGTCAGGGATATATCGTCCAAAAATGCCAAAAATCAGTAAAAGATATTTAGACCATATCTTCTTGGACTAGCATTAGAAAAGGATATATTGGCCAATATATCGGGCCATGTTGGGGACATTTAAAACAATGCATTCTTGTTACGTTTTGCAAGAAATGGTTGTACTTTTTTGCAAAATGACACTTAACCTCACTTGTTGCTGCTGTACTTATTGTTAGTTTATAGGGTCACTTTTGTTTTTATTGTATTATATATGTTTATGAATTTAAGCACAAGGCCAGTGTGAAGATAGCAAACACTCCTGTATTCTTTAGCATACTAATTGCTTAATCTCTTAGTTCAATCAACATTTTTTGCTCAAAAAATTAGGTCTGAGTTGGCCAGGGCAACACTTAGCTCAGAAGGATGACAATGATATTATCATTTATTTTTGGAGTTAATGCCTCAGTCATTCAACAGTGTAGTCCAGGAATATGTCCTATGACCTTAGCTAGCCGTTTAATTTTTACAACCATGAAGAACAAGACAAATGCACTGAATAAATTATTGAAGATATATGACTTATCTCTTCATTCACACTCTTCAAAGAGTTCCTTCTACATTGAACTCCGACTAGAAAAAACATAGGATAGGACAATTATCACCTTTCCCTTGTCTTGATCCTTGTAAGAGGAGCATGACTAGGCATACTAATATTTTTTCTATCCTAATCTTTTTATGATCCTCGTCTTAGTCAATTAGGGATAACAATAGATGTATAAATGATAGCAAATCCTTTATGATTGATATCGCTAGCTACATATTCAATGATCTTCTTCTCCTCTCTATAACTATAAGTGCACACACACATGCTTTCTTCCTTCAAGATATGATTTTCGAAGAAGATAAATGATTCCGATGCTAACACAAGATTGTGTTTGAGCAAAGCACCAATGAAGGCAGAAGTTCAAGAAATACAATGTACATTAAATTACATAAAAGGCTTGAAGTCTTTGCATTGGAAATTGGCTGATGGTTTTTAGTATTGTTTTCAAAAGTAGGGAGTTTTAATAGTTCATAATGCAAGATGGTTATGTGGATATTGGGAGTGTCAGGTGATTCACAATCTTTCCATGCTAATTCTTTTTTTTTTTCGGGTAACATAATGATATCAAATGATTTTCTCACTTAATTTTATAGTAATTCTTAAAAATATTAATCCAGATTTTCTCTGGCAATAATAATATCATATTAAAATCTAGGACACTACTATTCAATAAATTTGGAGAAGACGAGCCAATGACAACAAATATGCTTTTATTCCTATTTTCAAAATATGACCCAAAGACTTGAGAAGATGCCCGAAAAGACTTACTAATCTCTGCATGGAAGTATGGTGTCAATAATCTGCAGATGACCATTCACTATTTTGGTTGTGACAACTGACAAGTCTTTGCATATGACCACTCCCTACTTTTTATCTGCTTGAGAACATTCAGCATGCTTACTTGTTTTTTGTGTTTAATTGATATGTCATTAAGCTATCCTGATTCTGACATCAATATGTCACTATATTTGATGCCCTGTTTCATACAATTTAGTTTCTCATATCCTATGCCTAATATTTTTATTATGATTTAGTCTTTATGAGTAATTTGCAGAAATGATGAATCCTTCATTACGGTGGAGAAGCCTGGTGAAGATCGAAAACTTTTTGATCATAGATCTCTACAATTAAACGAAGATGACTACCGACGTGTTTGTAGGGTTGCGAAACGTAAAGTATGCTATTAATCCATTTTCAACACAGAATATCAACACTGTTTAGTTATTTTTTTCTTCGGGGTTATTAATGTGGGCTATTGCTTCTGTATTAGGGCGCCAAATTTAGAGATTTACCAGGGGTTATGGTTAACCTAGATAATGCAGCTCAATGGGATCCCAAAGTTTGAAAGGGTTCTCTTGCCTTCCGGGAAACCATTGGTAATATTTACTTGCATTATCTGAAGTTTAGTTGTTAGGTTTTGTTAATAGTTTCTGCACCTTTGTAATTCAGGTTCCTGACTACGCCATGAGCTTTATCAATGGAAAATCCTTAAAGTAAGTTTTCTCATCTTTTGGCTGCTTGGTTAGTCAATAGTATTACTCTAATTTATTGTAGGCCTTTTGGACGTCTTTGGTGGGATGAAACAGTTGCCACAGTGGTAACAAGGCTTGAGCCTCATAATCAGGTTCTTTCTTGATCGTTTTATACTTGTTACCTTTAATTTCTTATGATTTTTATCCTTTGACAGTGTGTATCTAAACATTTCTAGTTTTTGCAATACATTTTCATTAATTCTTCTAGAAAATATTTTCTAGATTATTATTCATCCAGAACAAGATCGTGTACTCTTCATTCGAGAAAATGCAAGATTGCAAGGTATTCCTGATGATTACAGGTTGTTTGGACCTGTCAAAGAGAGATACCTTTTCTTCAGTTGCTTAATTGATTTCACACTTAGTTTCTTAATTTTCCAACATGGAAAATTATGATGGTGTATAATGTAGCGCTCAGCTTCTCGGTGGCTTCAAAAACATATAGCTTAACACATTGCGTAAGTTTTTTGTTTTATTGCTTTTTGATGTAAAGCAAATATATAATTATTTTAATGAATAGGAACATGATTTCAAAAGATGAGAGATTATATTCTTTAATAAAAATTTTAAATTTTAACTCGAGCAATACTAATCTACTAAAAAGTACCATAATAAAATGTTAAAATATATAATCACAAATTTACATATATTATTCATAATTTCAATTCAAGAGTTCCTATGGTTGAAAGCTTTTCTTCTCGAGCTTGGGATAAGCTTTGAGAAATACTTCATCCACTGCGACAGTCAGAGTGTCATTCATTTGTCTGAGAACGACGCATTCCATTCTCGGACCAAGCATGTTGACGTGAAGCATCATGCCATACGGAGTTGGCAAAGCAAGAACGAGTTCAAGCTTGTGAAGATTGATACGAGGTACAATCCACCCGATATGCTGACCAAGCTAGTTCCGCTCGAGAAGGATGTTGTGTGCAGCCTCATATGGTCTCTGTTAAGAATGTTGAAGGTCGTACAAGACGCCAAAGATACAAGACATCCGGATGATGCAACCAAGAATAGTGTTAAAGTATGATTGATACTCAATCAAATTTTTAAGTGGGAGATTGTCAGCCCATCTTTTTTAACCAAAAGAGATCAGTGGCTGGATTCTGTGCCGAAAGATTTGAAAAAAAGGATGTGGGTTCCATAATAAATTATTATTAAGTGATGGGTCTCATTAATAATATTTTATTTGTGCATAGTATTTTCCAAACACTATAAATAAAGCCTAAACTTTTCAAGAAAATTCATCCTAGAAACAACTCCTCTTATAGAAGAGTAAGAGAAAATATAGAGAGAGTTTGTAAGAAATCTTGGAGAGTATCTTGATCAAGAGAGGGTGTTCTCTTTGATCCTTTTCTTTTGGAGTATAAAGAAATTGGCGTCGTCGTTGCACCGTGGAGTAGCTCCGTAAGAGTGAACCACGTTATATCTGTGAGTATTGTGATTGAATTTGTGTCTGCTTGGGCGTGTTTTTGTGTCTCCATTTGAGGCGTTCTTGTTGGTGTGTATCCTAACAATATGAGCAATAACAATTACTTTTACTATTTGCAACTTTTTCGGTAGCTCCGTGGGATACTTGAGTTTTCGATTTCTCAACCTATGGTCTCACATATGATGGATTCTAGTTTTACCTAGTCTTTGAAATCACGAAGAGAACTTTTGCTGTTAGACCTGGACAATTTGTGGGACAATTTTGAAACTTATGTAACTCATTTAATGTTCTATGTTTATGCATGTTTCCCGCTCGGGACTCCTGCATAAAAATGCGGGTATTTTTTAATAAGAAGTTTGTGTAAGAGCATGTTAGAATGCAGGAAATGCTTTTGATTATTTTACATACAATATTTCCCTTTATAACTTGTGGCTACTATAGGTATATTCAAGTTGGTATTGCTGTAGCTGTCCCCGTCTCGAGGGCTCTCAGATATGCATTGGGGTTGGCATACCTTCGGAAGGCTAATGAAGAGCCTGCCGTTGTTCTGCCCTAATTCCCTTGCAAATCTAACTTTTGCCTTTATCTGTGAAACGCGTTTTTGCTTTGCTTGTGGGGGCCACAAGAACACGTGAACAGCTGTGGCTGTGTTCACGTTTGGAGGGACTTCGGGCGCTGAAGTGGCCCAGGTAAGGCCCACGTGCATGCAATGTTATAAAACCCTTCAGCTAGGGTTTTAGCAGGGCGTGCGAGGAGATTTGGCTGCGGGAGCAGAGCAAAGATTTGTTTCGTTCGGCTTGGGAATTCTTTTGCGGCTGCAGGTGAAAAAAAAAACACAGAGGAGAAGCAGCGGCTGTGCAAGGCTTTTGTGCATCCTTTTGTAGAGAGATTGTGTGAGAGGTTTGAGAGTTTGTGTGAGGGTTTAGATTGAGTGATTGTAAACCCTAATTGTATTTTCTCCCTCTAGTAATAGATCTCCCCCTCCTTGTCTCGTGGACGTAGGCTATTTGCCGAACCACGTAAAATTGGTTGTCTCGTTATTTGTGTGATTTGTAATAGCTTTATAGGTTCCCTCGACAGGTCAGTCCTAGATCTGATGAGAGGAAGAGCTGATATCTCACTTGGTTGAGATATTTTGCTTAAGGTTCTTGTTTTCTTTGTAAAACAGGAATTTCTATTACGACCTGACTCTCTTGTTGTGCTGTCGAAGTGCTACTGAAATTTTCACTGCGCGCAACAAGTGGTATCAGAGCCCAGATTTCAGATCTAGGGTATTTTGGATTAGGTGGAGGAAAATTCAGTTAGAAGCTTGGTTCTTGGAGTTCTAGACTTCGGTGGAGATAGGATTTGAAGTTGTTATTCGAGATCTCGCTTTCCTCGTGTGGTTAGGAGTTCTATTTGGAATCCAATTTAGGGTTAAGTTGGATAATTTCTTATTCCTTTCAAAATTTGAATCTTTCTTTGTAATTTGGAGTTAGTTTGTAATGGGAGAAGAAGGTGAAAGCAGCAAGTCGATGGCGAGTACAATACAAGTTGGTTTTGAGAACACTAAGATTAGTGTGGTGAAGTATGACAGCAAAATCAACTTTGGTTTGTGGATGAGCGACGTACAAGATGCGCTCAATGCTCAGAATTTGGAGAAGACCATCATGATCTACGAGAGACCACCTAAATATGAAGAGGCGGTATGAGAGAAGATGAATAGGAACGCTTGTAGGGTGATCAAGTCCTGTTTGGAACAGGAGCTAAAATATGATGTGATTGGGGTGACGTCTGTAATGAAGATGTGGGAAATTCTCAATAATAAGTACCTTACGAAGAGTGTTAAGAACATGTTGCATTTGTTGCGTAGGTTATTCAGATTCCAGATATCCAGAGGTACCTCGCTTGCGGCTCATGTGAACAACTATACAAAGTTGTTGTCAGACTTGGCGAATGTTGATGAGAAGATATCGTATGAGTACAAGGTGATTATTTTGTTGAGCTCCTTACCGGATGAGGAGTATGATACCTTTGTGCTCACTTTGTTGAACGGGAGATCTTCTATCAACTATAGTGAAGTTACTAATGTTTTGACGAACTACGATTTGAGGAGGAATGATAAGGAGACTTTCCGCGTAAGTACTTCAGGAGAGGCCTTATCGACGAGAGGTAGAAGCCCATATCCAAAAGGTGGTAATAGAGGAAGGTCAAAGTTAAGAGGTCGTCACCAGCTAGGAAATAACCAATGTGCATTCTGTAAGGAACATGGACATTTGAAAAGAGATTGTCCAAAGATCAAAGAGAAGAATAATAGCAAGAAAAAGAGCCCGAAGGCCAATGAGATGAATATTGCGAAAGGCGATAATTCCGATGATTCGAACTTTTCTCTACTGATTACTCCGGAGGTGAACCACTTGGATACATCATATTGGATGCTTGATTCCGGCGCTACCTATCATGTGACCCTTAGGCGAGATTGGTTTGCATCTTTTGAGAAGCTCGATGGAGGAGTTATAGTCATGGGAAATAATCAGTCCTGTGGCATTTGTAGGATCGATACCGTGCGGATTCGGATGTATGATGGAGTAGTCCGTGAATTAAAGGAGGTGAGATTCGTTCCTCAGCTGAAAAAAATCTTATCTCAGTTGGAGCTTTGGAGGCGAAGGGATTCAAGGTAACCTTTGAGGACGCTGTAGCAAAGGTTACTAAAGGATCTTTAGTGGTGATGAAAGGAGTCTGCAGTCGGAACTTATATTATCTGAAGGGGAGCACCGAGATTGGTCAGGTTACTTCAGCTATTTCAGAGGCGAACATGAGCATGCTTTGGCATTATAGGTTGGGACACACATGAGAGAAGTCACTACAGGTTTTGTGCAAATAGGAGCTATTGAAGGGAGCCAAGAGTGGTAAAGTAGAATTCTGTGAGAACTGTGTTCTTGGCAAGAAGACGAATGTGAAGTTCGGGATGGTCATTCATAAGATGAGGGGTATCCTGGACTACGTGCACACAGATGTTTGGGGTCCCACCAAAACAGCATCACTTGGTGGTCGACATTGGTTCGTCACGTTCGTTGATGACTATTTTAGGCATTATTGGGTGTACATCATGACGAAGAAGAGTAAAGTCCTAGATTTGTTTGTGGAGTGAAAGAAGAGATTAGAACTGCAGACTGGGAGAAAGATCAAGACGTTGCGATCCAACAACGGTGGTGAGTATACTTCTGACCCCTTTCAGTAGCTATGTCGAGACGAGGGCATAGAGAGACACTTCACGGTTAGTCATACACCACAGCAAAATGGGGTGACAGAGAGGTTGAATTGGTCTTTACTGGAGAAGATCCGATGCTTATTGTCGCAGAGTGATTTGGAGAAGATCTTTTGGGCTGAGGCACTTACATATGCGAGCCACCTCATTAATAGGCTGCCTTCATCTGCGATTGAGGGGAAAACCCCTATGGAGATGTGGTCGGGAAAGCCAGCACATGAATATGACCAGCTCAAGGTATTTAGGTGCCCTCCATATTATCATGTTAGAACTAGGAATGCCATATTTGTAGGATTCAAGCGTGGTGTCAAGGGATACAAGCTTTGGGATCCAGTGGATAAGAAGATTGTGCTGAGTAGGGATGTCACATTCGATGAGGCTTCTATCTTGAAGCTTCCCAGCTCTCATCAGGTGGAGAGCAACCCGACAGAGGAGATATCGCAGGTGGTGGAGATCGATGCAGCTCTACATTGTTTAGATGGTAAAGTATCCATTTGAGCGCCGACTGAGGTGACGTCAGGCGAGCACGACGGTGACACGGAGGATACGGGTACTGATGTGCAGGATCAGGGACCGACGACTCAGGTTCAGGATTCTATTGCGGTTCAGAGACAGAGGAGAGACATACGGATACCAACACGGTATGCCGACACAGTTGCGTATGTACTTCCGGTGGAGAGTATCTATGAGATGGTGCCTACTACATTCAGAGAGGCCGAGCAGAGTTCAGAGGCTGATTCGTGGTAGGTAGCTATGCAGAAGGAGATGGATTCTCTTCACAAGAACGATACGTGGGAGCTTGTTGAGCTTCCAAAGGGGTGAAAGGCAATTAGTTGCAAGTGGGTATACATGAAAAAGGAGGGTATTGAGGGCACTCCATTGAGATTCAAAGCTAGGTTGGTTGCGAAGGGCTATGCACAGGAGGAAGGTATTGACTATAATGAGGTTTTCTCTCCGGTGGTGAAGCACTTTTCGATTCGGATTTTGCTAGCTTTGGTGGCACAATATGGTTTGGAGTTAGATCAATTGGATGTGAAGACGACATTTTTTCATGGTGATCTTGATGAAAAAATATATATGACTCAGCCATTGGGATTCCGAACTGCAGGGAAGGAAAAATTAGTTTGCAGATTGAAGAAATCGCTATACGGTTTGAAACAGTTTCCTCGACAGTGGTATAGGCGATTCGATGGTTTTATGATTGGTCATTCGTACACTCGGAGCCAGTTTAATCCTTACGTATATTTTTGTAAGTTGAAAGGAGATGCGTACATCTATTTATTATTTTATGTCGATGACATGCTGGTTGCCTCTATTTCTAGATCTCCTATAGATGAATTGAAGGCACACCTTTCAAAAGAGTTTGACATGAAGGATTTGGGTGAGGCGAAGTGTATTTTAGGGATGGAGATCGGCAGAGACAAGAAGAAGGGTAAAATTTGTTTGACACGGGTGGCTTATTTGAAGAAGGTTTTACAGCGATTTCATGTTAGCATGGATATGAAGTCAGTTAGTGTACCTTTGGGAGCCCATTTGAAGCTTTCAGCTGATCTTTTACCGAAGACAATTAAAGATCGAGAGTTAATGTTGAAGACTCCATATGCGAGCGTGGTTGGGAGCTTGATGTACGCGATGGTATGTATGAGACCGAATTTGTCACAGACGGTGAGCATGGTATCGAGATACATGCACGATCTAGGAGTGGGTCATTGGGATGCCGTGAGATGGATTTTGAGGTACATTCGAGGTACGTTCAATGTTGGTTTAGTTTATGAGCGGGACACTACAGGTGGGCAGCTATGCATTGGTTATGTTGATTCAGATTATGCCGGGGATTTGAATAAGCGTCGGTCTACGACGGGGTATGTGTTTACTGTGACCCGTGCGTCGGTGTGTTGGAGATGCATCTTACAGTCTACTGTAGCTTTGTCTACGACGGAGACAGAGTATATTGCGGTTACGGAGGCTGTGAAGGAGGCTATTTGGCTTCGAGGACTTTTGGAGGAACTTGGTATATCGTAGTGATCCGTCACTATTCATTGTGATAGCATGAGTGCTATCTATTTGGCGAAGAATCAGGTTTTTTATGCGAGGACGAAGTACATTGACGTTCGTTATCACTTCGTTCGGGATGTTCTTGAAGATGGCGAAGTGGAGATTGTGAAAATCCACACGAAGGATATTCCGGCGGATATGCTCACTAAGGTGGTTCCGAGCAATAAGTTTGATCATTGTCGAAACTTGTTACATATTCGTGATTGTTAAGGCCGTTGACGGCCATTTGGGTGAACTACGTTCAGCTTGATTCCTTAGGCAAGAGGATACGTAGGTAGTCTTTACGATGCAGCCAGTTTGGATTAGTTGATTTTAATGGGGGTGAGATTGTTTAGACTCTCGTTCGGGTTCCCAACGTGTTGTGGATTGAGTCCGTTGTCGTGAATTGTTTCTCGGCGTACTGGACACAACAAGTGGGACATTTGGATGCTTTGGTGTCGACTCAGTTTTGAGAAAACTTCACTGAGGTGGAGAATTGTGAAACGCGTTTTTGCTTTGCTTGTGGGGGCCACAAGAACACGTGAACAGCTGTAGTTGTGTTCACGTTTGGAGGGACTTCGGGCGCTGAAGTGGCCCAGGTAAGGCCCACGTGCATGCAATGTTATAAAACCCTTCGGCTAGGGTTTTAGCAGGGCGTGCGAGGAGATTTGGCTGTGGGAGCAGAGCAAGGATTTGTTTCGTTCGGCTTGGGAATTCTTTTGCGGCTGCAGGTGAAAAAAAAACACAGAGGAGAAGCAGCGGCTGTGCAAGGCTTTTGTGCATCATTTTGTAGAGAGAGATTGTGTGAGAGGTTTGAGAGTTTGTGTGAGGGTTTAGATTGAGTGATTGTAAACCCTAATTGTATTCTCTCCCTCTAGTAGTAGATCTCCCTCTCCTTGCCCCGTGAACGTAGGCTATTTGTCGAACCACGTAAAATTGGTTGTCTCGCTATTTGTGTGATTTGTAATAGCTTTTTAGGTTCCCTCGACAGGTCAGTCCTAGAACTGATGAGAGGAAGAGCTGATATCTCACTTGGTTATGATATTTTGCTTAAGGTTCTTATTTCCTTTGTGAAACAGAAATTCCTATTGCGACCTGACTCTCTTGTTGTGTTGTCGAAGTGCTGCCGAAATTTCCGCTGTGCGCAACATTATCAGACTGAGGTATATTAATTTCAGGTATTATATTAGCCTTTTGCAATTGTTACATGGTATGGATTTACATGCTGCATCTTCTCTTTGGCATTTCAGATAGTTAAATTAAGAAAATCAAGATTAGGGATAAATTGTTTGTTCAGACTATTTTATATCAAGTTAATTGTGATTGATCTGGTGATGGAATATGCAGCTGACATTTTTGTGGAGATAATTTTGGTGGTGATGAAGTTGTGAATATTTTACCTATTTCGGATCATCGAGCTCTAACGGATATGCATACAAAGAGTTTACAGATCTTGACCTCTTTTCTTATAAATCAACTTTTTTAGCTTATGTTGACGTGTTTATTTGAGGCAAAATTTCACTGCTATATTCAATGTAAATACTTGTTGCTTAACTATTGCAGTAATCACATCGTAGATGTGAGGGATTATTATTATGAGGATTGATGATGAGCTTCTTTATTGTTCTTGGATTGGAGTATCTTCTTTCCAATACTGGGACAGTTCATTTTCTTAGATGATGCACGATAGAGCCAAAAGCTTTCATGATTTTTTGTCTTTAAAGAATGCAAATTTCATTATTAATAGATATACGAGCCTATTTATTTGCGACTATTGTGAAAATTATTGTCTGGTGGAGTAAATTGTGACAATAAGTTCTTGAAATTTGCTAGATTAACTTGAACCCTTGAGCAGGATCATATTTCATCATGAGAGTTTTTCAACAAATTGTGCTTGGATATTGAAAAATGAGCTCTTGTACTTTCTTGTTCAATAAATAGAAACTGGGGAATAAGCAAGTCTCGCTTAGTATAATGCAACTTTGTTTCTGTTTTTTGTTTATGATTTTGTTTTTGTTTTTGTTTTTGTTTTTGTTTTGTTTTAATTATTTGTGTGAAAGAACTCTTTCATGTCAACCACACCTCAAAAGGCTAGAAATCCCTATAACACGGTCGTCCCAAAAAGTTTTGTTAGCGTTCAAGCAGGATGGGAAGCCTTGGAAGCTTATAAATTGCCTTACCAATGATTTCGGATGGGAAGCCTTGGAAGCTTATCGTTTGCCTTATCATAAAGACATGACATGAAACAAAAAGAAAATAATAATGTATATAATACCTGGTTCTCATTGTTTGATCCAACAAAGAAAACACCAATTATGATAACGTACAAAAAATAGAGCAGTAAAAAAAATTCATGTTCACACTATACTATCAAGACATTCCTAGTTCAACTTACTGCATCTGACTAAACCTGATAAAAGATTTATTGTCTTTGATAAGAAAATGTTTCAATTTGCCCACCACTGGTCCACAGGTGATCCGGACAATTGAGAGGTTCTAATATGGCTCCTAATGTCTTGGGTTGGATTATCAAAAAAAAAAAAAAGTTTTCTATTTCATGCCAATATCTGTTCAATTCTGTCTAATCCTGTAACTGAAAGAATATT